ACAGAGCCAGAGTAGTGCAGCGCAGCAGCGGTAATTGGACAGGGGTTGCTATGGAAACAGGGGAAACGGTTGCCTGACGGTCATAGCTGTGCCCTGGGAGCATCAGACTTGCCTCCATTAAACACACACACACACACCCACACACACCATGTACAAACAGCACATACATCTTCATCTTCTCGATAAGCATATCCTTTACTAAACACTACATTCAGGAAGCAAACAAGACACAATGTATAGTGGGTCCACCATGCTTGTGTGTGTGTGTGTGTGTGGGCGCTTAAGTGCCACAGTGTTTTTAAGCCTCTTTTAAGCCTCTATGCCTTTGTCTTAAATGAGCATAAATTCATGTAAGAGCCTGTGTGTGTACATGTCTTTGTGTGTGTGTGTGTGTGCCACATGTGTGTATGTCAGCCATGAAGAGCTGGCGGCTGAGAGAGCCTTTAGCATTTAAGAAATGCTCGCACACTCGCAGACCACATCACCGTGCACAGCCAAACATTGATAAAACCTGAACGAGGTGTTTTAGTATTCCACACCTCAGAAAGCTCAGCGCCGTCAGTTTCGGGCAGCGACTGCGGGAGCTGCAGGGAAATCTAGCCATACACTAGCTGTGTTTTGAAGTGGACGCCCTCCGAATTATACTCGACACAGCTGATTATCCTTCCACACACCCTAGGATACGTCCTCATATACTGTATGCACGTGAGGAACTGAATGGTAGCATAAATGTATTTACAAATTATAGTTACAGACTAATCCTTACAAAGCTGAAAGCAGCGCTGGACTCAACAAAGGGATTTTTTATGGATACAGTTGGCAGGATTTCTGACAAATCGATTATCTGTCAGATCTCTTTTGGGTTCTTGTGCTTACCGAAAAACCAAAGCATATTTGTGAATATCGTTGCAACTACAATTTTATACTGATGATGAGTTGTGAGTATTTATTCATCATCATGAAACCATAAAAAAAGACACCAATGACACCAATAACATGACTGATTGCCTAAGATGGGGGCCGCTCAACTAGAAAGTTCAATTGTCCAGTTTAAATGACCAATTGGTGGAAGTTAAAGGGACAATAACTGTGCTTCAAATCAGTGGAGATGGGATCTATGGCATCAGTATAATGGATTACGGATCCTGGCCCCTTGCAACGGTTATGTCTGCGCCATCCATCATTATCCGAGGCAATACTTACAGTTCAATCAGTATTATTCCTCCAAACTTGCATAAATGTTCTTTCCTTTGTGGAAAGTCATAGTTTAATCCCTTCAAGTTTTATTTGATTTCATGACTTTCCATTTATCTTTTATTCTATCATTTTATTCATCCAAAACAGTTCTTTCCCATTCCTATCCCTTTCTCGTGGTATACGGCAAATATATGTCATTTTTATAACAAAATCACTCTCCTTTCTCTTACTGTAAAATGGTTTAATGGTTTTAATATCTACTTTTGGGGGCCTGGGGTGCATATTTATACAACCAAATGTGATAAACCCCACGTGTCAGATGTAAGTAGTTGAATTCCCATCAGCAAAACCTTTATTCACATTTCTAAGGCAGTGTAGTTGTGCTCTAATTTATTAGTATAACAATTTATCACCCGCTTTTATCCAATCAAATCTGAATCATCAATCAAGAATTTGAATAAAACCTCATAATTATACCCAACTTATTCTGTTTCACCCGACCATACAGTATGTTACAAAAAGGAAGCTAAAGATGCCCCACCTGCTGTTTCACTATAAAAATACATGTTTATCTTTGTGATTTGAGTTCTCCTTTATTCCCTCATTTAATTACTCATTAAACTTTAAATAATAATAATAATAACCAAATAAACACTAATAATCTTTATCTGCAAATGCTAAAGCTCAGGATTAGTGGGATTTACAATGAGCTTTCCCAGTGTGCATTTTTGGGACATCTTCCTTCTCCTCTCTTCATTTTGTTTTATGAATTGTGGAGTCAATGACTGTTTCAGTTACAGATAAACAACTCAGTTTCTCATTGACAGAACTGGGTAAAAAATGACAACTTTTAGACATCATCAGAGGGACTGATGTCTCGAGAGTGTTTCTAAGTTCATAGCGGATACAGACTGAGACTCGGCATTAGAGGCTGGAAGCACAGAGCTCCACATGCACCATTTAGCTGATAGGAAGCCCTCGAGGGCAAACAGTCTTACTATCGACAAGCTGCTGCAGAATTTCAAACTCCCAAGGTACCGTGTGATGAGGGATGAGGTCGTGGAGGGAAGAGGGGAGAAGGAAGGGAAGCATCATCTATCCCAACTCAATCGAAACTGACTCTCGCCTTCAAGGGAAGGGTGTGAAGGATGGGACTGGATAATAGGATCGCTTCCTAGGGGAGGTGTGTGTACGAAGTGTGTGTTGAATTCTCCCCCCAAGATGAACTAGAAATACAGCTCAACATGAAATGTGGGAGTCATTCCAAGCCTATTAGAGACGGTTGCATCACTCCTGGTACATCTGTGATTAAATAAACTAAACATTTTCAGCTCATTATTACAACATTTAGAACATCAGACAAACAAAACATTTCCTTTTTTCAGCTTTGAATTCATAAAACCAAAAATAAAATAATGCTCAGAACTATTACACTACCACAGTTTTTTCTTTTTTTTAAATGAGAGTAACATTTCAGTAACATTTCTACATTTCAAATGTAGAAACACAGATGGTGATGAGGACTTCAATAGATTGTAGGTGGATTTAACATTTATTCAACGGCGGTTACTGAGGATGACAAGGACTTACTGTTTTTCATCTCGACAACAATATGTTATGATTCTTCATTTATAGCCTCCTGCAGTAGATCAAAGTGATGTACCAAATCTCAAAACAACAACAACAAATACATTTTTCATATCACACAGTTATTTCCTTTGTGAAAGTTGAGAGCTAGACTTTATTCACAACCTCGCGCCTGAGTACAGACTTCTGTTTGTAATGACTGGCTTATGAAACCCACACTGCTGTCTTCCATCATTTAACTCACAGCGAAATGACAGCGAATGATGCAACTGCAGCATCACTTAATTTATGCACATGAACCATCACTCCATTCACAAACAAAATGTGCAAACTCTTGAAAATGTATTTCGGGCATGCTGGAGGTTGAATTAGCAATTACAGAGTCACCTTAGTAGTGTGACATATTGGCCTTGAAGGAGAGGCTATGCAGAGCAAATGTAGAGCTGAGGACTGGCTCATTCATGTGTGAGGAACCGTTTCAATGCTGATCAAAGCCAGTAAATATGAGTAGAGTATCTGGCCCACAACAAAATCACTGTGTAAACAGGACACAGGGTGGCTTGTAGCTTGTGTCAGTCTGTTTGGTGTTTGACTCCACAAGATAATCATAATTTGTCTCACAATCAGGGAAAACGGATACGACATCTGTTAACTTCTACATCGGATGCCCAGTTGAATACACAACATACAATATCTGTCATAAACACCTCATTACTACAACCGTCTGGAAGTGCACACACATACATATTTCCTGTGTGAGCCGACTCAACATTAGCCAGCTTACAGGAAGTTTTTCATCTTCATCCAGACTCCACCAAGCTCCAAACGAAGACGTAGTAGCTTAATCAGCAGCTCAGTCAATGGAGGCAGCTAATGTTTCATATCATTGAGAGTAAAAACAACGTAGGATAAATTCTAATTCTAAAAAAGGTCCCTGAGATGTGTATGCTGTTCCCTCTATTATTGTGAGCCCTTAAAAAGAAAAAGTCTGAAGCATGTTTTCAGGAAAAAGAAACATTTCCATGTCCATAAATCTTATCAGGCCTGATATCTGCATGGGAATCTTGGCAGTGCCATTCTAATAACTATATAACTATCTAATAACGAACGTTGTTTGAGATATGATTAACACTGCTGTAATTTAGTGTGAGCTGTGTGACTGTGCTTTCTGCCATTGACAGAATGGACAGAAAGCATGCACAAATCCTAATTCAGTTTGATGTTCACCTTAAAAAAAACACACAAAAAAAAACAGAATCACCCCACTCTGTAAAAAGATTTTTGTCATCATCTATTAGATTCTCAAGTTTGATGCGCATATTAGGAATCCGTTCAAGACCATCAAAACAAATTTAAAACTGTTTTTGATTTCAACAAACCTTACAGGAAATTGGTCGGAGACCAATTAAATTGCACTATTGTCAGCATTCTTCAAGTTTTATGTAATAATATTGTTGTAAAATTTATGGTTACATAGTCAAACTTGAAATCATACACCTAGATATCAATGTTTACACAGTCACGTACAAAAAAAAATACACACCCAGACACAGGCAGATGCATAGCTTTTATCTGTCCTGCTGTTTTCTTTATCCTGATTCTGTCTTATCAACTAATTTTTTTGGCAGTTTTAACCAAACCAGGGGTGGGATTTGAAAATTAGCTTCAGCTAGAAGTCCTATATACATCACATCTGCTGCACTACTTATCTGTAAGTTACAATGTTTATCTGTATGAATAAACAGGTTGTTTCTGATCAAATGTGAAAACATTAGTTTTTCTAACAGGAGATGTCTCATTTTGCATTTCAAAAGAAACTCATGCCATTAATGCTTATGATGTTGCACCTTCAGGAGTTCACTTATTTTAACATTTCATTTTTTAATTAGTCAAAGACATGAGATGTAACCCAAATCCAAAAACCCAAACCTAAATTATAAAAAAATATGATGTTTCTGGAGCCGTCTCATCTGTATCTGCTATGTGTTTAAACGTTTTCCAGCTTTGAGGAATGCATCAACAACACACTCAGAAATCAAACAAATTTAGTAAGCATACTGGCATCAAGTGTACTTAATCATGTAATTTTTCCAGTGTTAATGCACTCCAAACTCAAAACCTAGTTACAATTATATAGCATGGAAATGGGACACAGTGATGTTTTTTTTCCATCCATCTCAACCTCCCCATCTCTCAAAAACACACATGCAGCATACCTTGTTGAAGTCTTCACTTGTGGCTCTCATCTCCTTCCAGGTTTTGTTGAGCAGCTGAATGCAGATGCAGAAGAATTCCTCGAAGGAGCGATCGTGGGTGAAGAACATAGGGTGAAAGTCATGGCAGTTTTCACTGGCTGTGGACACAAGAGAGAGAAAGGTTGTCACCTACAGTACCAGTAAATGAAGCCTGTTTGTGATCATGTTTGTGTGTATCACTGACTATATTCATATGCACAAAAGTTTCCGGTTTTGCCCTTACCCTGAAAAAAAGAATTTTCCTACTAAGCTGTTTACAACTGAAAATTAATATTCCACTAACAGTCCCATTTACATGCAGCTGTACATACTCTGATTAACCTTACTGTTAATGATGTACTGTACATCCTCCTGAGGAGTTTTCCTCCTTTTCCTTCCCTTTCCCTCTTTTTGAAACTGCAATCATGTTGGACCCGTGGTAAAAGTGAAACAGCTAGGGCTACTTAGGTAATTCCGCCTCTTGGCATAATTTTTTCAAAGTTTTCCATCAGTGGCGAACTTGTTGGAAACAGCCTCCCTCTTTCATTTGTTCAACCACATTCTTGAAAAGATCAGCGTTGTGACATTTGTCCAAAAACCTGCTGATATCCAAGACTTTCATAATGTTTGAAAATAGGTGTGTGCCCTGCCAGGAACCCCCCATAGTACAATAAGAGTAAATATTTATTTTAAAAAAATATTTATTTATCAATCATTATTATTTTTCCCTTTCTTAATACAGGTTATATAAACGTTTCCATTGGTCATGATTCACGTTGTTCCTCTTGTTGTTACTGGTGATGGAG